TGCGTAGTTTATTATATATATATATATATATATATATATAGTGTATCTAGAACAAATTAACCTAATTTGATTCCATATATTCCAACTTCCAAGATACATGTATCTGGACGTACCAAAATCTGATAAGATTCATAATATTACAACATAACATGTATTTTTAAGTAATTAGACGATATACAATTGAGGTTATTGTATGTTACTTTTTAAATAAAAAGGTTTTATGTGCCGACCCCGATCCCGTCCCGGTCAAGTCTCAAGGGCCAAGGACTCATATGGATCGGGCTTATAAGTCGTAGTTTTAAATTAAACTCGAAAAATCTTATCCCAACCATACTCTCAATCCACCCCATGAGCTAGGTAATGATTCTGCATTTGAGATTGTTATGACTTCTTTTATATATATAATATTTTTTTCTTTAAAATACATCTAATTGTTAATTAGAGATAATATATTTTTAAAATGTTAAAGTTAAATTTCAATAAAAACTAAAAAAAATTATAATTTAATTGAAATTATTCTTTCAAACTACTCTTTTGGCTTGTTATTTCATAAAGCAAGAATGGAACTATTAGCACACGCTTTTTTCACAATTTTTAAAGAGCTTAAAGAAATATTTTATTTATATAAACACAATATTTTCTTCTCCTTATGAGGTTTGCAAAGTTTATTTGTAAAGAATTTTTGTGCAAATTTTCGTTTCTTTCCATTTGTCATTCACACAAACAATCTCAATAATAAATGAAAAAAGGATTATATGATGAAAAATATACATAGAAAATTATCTGATTCAAAAGATCAATTACATCAAATGAATAAGGTTTCCTTTAAATTTTTCATAATAAACATATAAGAAATGTACTCAATAGTCGATAAATTTAATTTCTTTGAATTATCAAATTTTGGTATATTTACTTCCTACATAGTATAAGTCGCATAATTAATCATTAATCATTTTAATTTTTATTATTGTATTTTTTTCATTCACGCATAAACATAAACATCAATTATAAATACTTTTACTATTACATAAATTTAATATACATATCACAATCTTGAGTATGATTATAACATATAGAATTTTATTATAGAAAATGTATTTGACAAATATATTAGCGCAAACGTTAGTCGATCTCTACTAATGTAAATTGTGATCATTATACATGATTTTGTGTTGTATTATCTCTTACATATATTGTGACATTGATAACTTATTATACCAAACGCATAAGTTAACATTATTTAATATATTGATTTATAACAATATACCATTGAGACTTTATCTGATATATCTTAAAATAATAATATTTATATATATATGATCTTGTAACAAGCATGAATCCATTTATGCATGCGTGAAGTATATAATTAAGTTCAGAATTTCTAAACATTTTCACATTTGTCATAACCATACCTGAAATCTTGATTCATTGTGTATACATATTTCTTAAAATGTTGTTAAATGGTAAATTTCTATTAATTAATCTACCATCTTTAATTGGCATTCATCGTTTATGAATCTTTATTTATCTAACAAGTACTTTTATTTTATATTTATAATTAGTTGATATCTTTATATATAATATTTGTTAAAACACTCCTAACCATCATAAATTTCGAGAGTTTGAATAATGCTATTAACAACTCCAAGTCATGAAATAAAATTTTATATTCGTAATGTGTATATAGAGTTGTTAAAATGGGCTTAGCCCAGCTCAACCTAACCTGTTTATTAGGGTAGAGTTGAAATATGATTTTTCAAGTCCATTTAAATAGGGACTTATAAGTTCAATTCATATACAATTTTGGCCCTTGAAGCTTGATCAGGGTTGGGCCGGTTAAATTTTATTATTCAAGGGTAACTTACAATAATCTCACTAATATATAATCGAATTACTTAAAAACACTATATGTTGCAATATTATGAATCTTACGGACTTAAATACTTCCAGATACATCTATTATTGAAAATATGGACTAAATTAGGTTAGTTTGTTCTAAATACACTTCATGTAAATAGATTTGTACATATCTAGGATACATAGACAAATTTCGCGCCGTCGCTTCCCTCCCATCTTGCTTGTCACTCTTTTATCTCGCTCGCGTATTCGGTATGAGTTACTCTAGATTTTTTACTAGTATTATTGAAACAACACCATTGTTTGTCATATTTGACTTGAAAATCTTCTCATTTTCTTGATGTTATAGAATTATAAGTTTGAAAAGAAAAACAATTAAAAAAAAATGAAAAAAGGGTTAACCCGCTCTAGCCCTTAACCCTTTTAGGATTGGGTTAGATTGAACATTTTCATGCCCTTCAACATAAAAGATCGGCTCGTCCTAGCCCCCCGCGAGGCTTGAGTCGAATGAGGCAAGACCGATCCTTTTTGACAACTCTACATGTATATATAATAATCACCAAATATTATATAACTATACAATTATTATTAGTTTATGTCCTATAATACTATCTACATTACTTTAGTGAAAAATTATATTTCAATATTTTATTACGAGATAATTGATCAATTAATATGATCAATATAATATATCCAGTAATTTATTCGTATAAAAATATCTCACACTAAAAGCAATGCAAATTCTAGTAAAAAGTCTTATCTTTTTTTATTTTCTATTCGATATTTAAAACTCATATTCAAATTCTCAATAAAATTTAATCACGATGCAATCAGATTTTCTAAAAAGCAAACGTCAATGATGACAAAATAAGAAAAATAATAACACTAACACAATAAAGATGTGCCTTTTTCATGAAGAAAAATATATCCAACAAAAGAATAGGATGAGTAGTTTGCATTTTTTATAGTAGTAAAAAATATAACAGTAGTAATAATAATTTTCTTGTCTAGCAAAAACAATAAACTCACATCAAAATAGCTTATGAATTTGCTTCTACAAACAAAAAAATCATTAAATCATTTCTACAAATTCCTCAAAATTGATCTTCCCATCTTTATTTCCATCAAATGCCAAAATCATCTTCCTGCAATTCTCCAGTTCTGCAGCTTCCTTAAATCCAAGTGCACACAAAACTTTCTGCAATTCCATTTCATCAATGAAACCATCTCTGTTCTCATCAAATACATCAAATACTTCCTGCATAATATTACTATTATCGTTATCGTCATCGTCTCCAAACAAGTCGCGAAAATTGTCCGAATCGAACCTCTCGTGATAAAGTTTATCACCATCTGGGTTACAAAAAATTCCCAATTTACCCATTATGGTTTCTACTTCATCTCTGTATAAACTTACATCAACTAACAAATAAGGCACATTATTATGGTGGGATGTTGTTGTTGCATTATGATTTCCTTTTTCTGATTTCGATTTTTGCGATTGGGATAAGAAATTCAAAAATTTTCTTCCCCAATCGAAAATTATGTACAACAAGAAGAAGCCAACTAAGCCATGGATAACGAGAGGAACAGGAACGGTACTAACGGGTAATTTTTTGATTGAAAAGCGATTGAGATAGTTAGAAGCTGACATTTTTGCCTAAATTTGAGAAAAAATGGAGAAGAGTTTCTAATTTCTCTCCTCCTCAAGGGTGATAGAGAAACAGAGCAAAGAAGATTGGGTTTTTTTTCTTCTCTCTTTTCTAGTGTTGTGTGTAGGGTGAAGAGGATTTATAGGAAATCAAATATATATATTTGTTATTTGTTTATATAGGTTATAATAACAACTAAATAAAAAGTGTAATATATCTCAATGTTATAAACATAACTGGAATCCTTTTAGAATATAATTAGGAATTCTACTTGAAAAAAAAAAGTTATATTTTTTTATAAATAAAAAATTTTCCTTAAGAAAATATTTATCAAATCTTCTCTATTCTCCCTACTTTATTTTTCTTTTAAATTTATATAATTTCTTAACGATAATAAAAAATAATATTTTACTCTCAAAATTATACTATATACTAGATAGAAAAGGCTTGGACAAGTTCGGGCCAATATGTATTTTTTTTAATTTTAATTTTATTATTAATTATTTTTATAATATTTTAAACGTATTTTTTAAGTAACTTATGTGGCATGTATGATATTTTGACACTTCTAAAATAATTAAATTATCCTTGAACTTAAATTTTATTTTAGGGAAGTACACACGTCAACTAATTATTTCCTCCAATATATTAATAGTGGATTGATAGTTCTAATTTGAAAATAGTCACAATAAATTTTAAAAAATGAAATTATCTTCAAAGTTAAATTTTATTTTTGAAAAGTAGACATGTCGATAGAGATATGTGTGCTTATCTCTTATAATTTAGTAGTGAATATGAATGCAAAAAATGAACCTTTTTTTTTTCTTTTTGAAAGTGAAGTGGAAGCACTCCGCAATCAGTTGTGTATTGTTATGGGTCAGTGGTACAGTGATTGAACTATTTCACTCTTAATTAAAGATTTCATATTTGAATTTGTGTATAAATCATGTTAAGAGCGTTATTCACGAATAAGTCCTATAACATACTATTCAAATTAAATCTAGACTTTAATATAAATTTCAATCATAAAAAAAGAAAAAATTAGTCAATTTTATAACAAAAAAGTTATATGTATATATTGTTGATTTCATGGTTCAATATGGGCAGCCATATGTTACGTTCTCCTTTTTTTTGGTTTGATAATTAAGTGTAGTAAAGTACGCACGTAGCATTTCATCCTTTGACTTATGGTTTTATCATCTATGATCAATAATAAATTATAACTTCTTATTCAATCTTATTAAATAAGTAAAAATATAAATATCATAATATTTGAAGTATTGCATTAATAAGTTATATATTTTTATTTTTTAATAAATAATATTTACAATTATAAGCTTTTAAATATACATAATTTTATAAAATTGCACTAGTTAATAATAGTAGTAAGTAGTAACTAGTTATTTTTTGATATAATCCTTTCGCATGCTACATACCTAATTTCTTCGTATCAAACATTGACTCTCTCTCTTTTTTCCTGTAAAATTTGATATGATAGGATTAATTAAAATGGTTCAAAGTTTTAAATTTAAAAACAAATAAATTAAAATAATGATTTGAAATCTCAATTCATATTTCTATTTTAAATATCATGATCTCATATCACATATCTAAAATTCACACATTAATTTAAAATCATAATTTTATATTACATGTACAAACGCCAACTAATTTCTAAAACTTTTAATAGTGTAATTAGTAATGAAAATCCAGAAAACGAATGGTGAAAAAAACAAAAACTAGATGTGCCGTTGTAGTTGGCTCCAGGCTCTTCATAGTCACCCTTGTACACTTTCTCGTGTTATATGTTAAAAAAATTCAACGTAATAATGTAATCATACTAAATTGATTATCAAGTTTTTTTATTATTATTATTATACATTATTTGTATTTTCTAATATTATTTTATATTTCTTTCTTCTTTTTTTTTAGTCAATACCATTTATTCAATCTATGCAAGTAATGAAAGGTGTGTTTGTATCCCACCATTTGTTCTCTCTAAAGTAATATTTTCTCCTATCACATATACATACACCAAACAAATTTGGTGTCTATAAGTTATCTATATTATATTAAATACACACTATACCATCACAATTCACCAAAAGTGTATATATAACATAATGGTGTTTTCAGTTTAATGTAGTAAAAAAAATTTGTTTGTATATTTGTATACATAGATTTGTTTATATCAAAATTCTAATTATTTTAGCACACAGTAGGATTTTACTTCTTAAAGTTAGTATAATAGTATGATCGTCATTTTGACATGAAATACATCAACTCAAATTAATCAGTAGTAGTTTTACTAATTTACCATTTTTTTTTATTTAAATTGTCAAAAATACATTGATCCAATCAAAAATCATATACACCACAAATTATCAAGTGATTTGACAATAACGATATATACCACAAACACATACTCAAACACCAAGCTAATTCGGTGTGTGGATAGAATTGGTGATTGATTTACTTAATGAATTTAAATTACGTAAACCTATTAGGAGACAGACAACATGTATGTTTCACCTGTGTGGTTCCAAACTTCAGTTACTTTTATTTATTTCTTCTTTCGTTTTAATTTGTTTGTTTGAATTTTTTTAATATATTAAAATTATGTAAAAATTATTATAAATCATGATAATTAATTTTTTAAATATTTTTTTAAAAAACCATACATTAAAATTTAATTGCTTATAAAATAATTGATTGAGTCATAAAATTAATTTATCAGTGTTGAACAAAATGAAACAAAAGAAGTAATATGTATTATTTAATTTGAAACTACATAAAAGGTATTGTAAATTTCAATTATTAACAACATATTGATTATTCAAATTTTATTTGTGCTACATATAATGAGACAAGGAAATTAACATGTACTTATTATTTATATTTTAAGTAAAAGTACTGTAAATTATACTATTTCCGTCCGTTATTGTTTGTCATTGTTTCTATTTTTAGAGTCAAACTATAAAAACTTTGACTAACGTTTTAAGATGTATTTTTTCATCATATTAATATGTAAAAAATTGTAATTTATAGTACTTTTCATATAGTTTTAGAATATCTAATTTTTTTGTTTACTAATTAATGTGATCTAATTTACTTTTAAAAATTATTTAAATTGACTTTCGATAAACGTAATATGACAAACAATTATGAACGTAGAGAGTAATAATTAACAACTTAAAATATATAAAAATTATATTAAAATTTAATTGACTCTCTAAAATTTTATTTGTTATTTGTATCACATAAAGTGAGGAAAATTACAATATAAATTAGAAACAGGGCCGGCTCCTATGCCTATTTGAATAAGGCATTGACCTTAGGCCCTCAAGGGCCTCAATTTTTTACCAATAATAAATTATGTGTTAATTTTTTTAAAAAAACTAAATTGTTTATGATAAGACGTATTTTCTAAAAGATATTATTATTTTGTTCTCATTAATTCCATTTATAAATAGAAGAAATCAAGAAATCATTTTATCATCTAAAAGATATTATTATTTTGTTCTCATTATTTTATTCTTTTAACTCCTTTTACATTCCCTTCTTTAAATTTTTGATAAGTTGGAGTAATACTCAGTCAAAAATATGAATTAATAGTCGAATAGTGTTGACCAAAGTGAATTGTAAATTTTCATATAATAATTGCCCGAGTAAGCAAATACTTTTCAACAATTGATAAAATCGAATAAATCATTTATAAAAAATATTAAGTATACTTTGCATTTGCAAGCTTTTTTTTAAAAAAAAAATTAATACATATGTAGTTCATTTAGATTTTAAGCCTCTAGTTGAAATTTCGCTTTAGGCCTCCGATAGCATTAAGCCACCCTGACTAGAAATGAAAATGAACTTCGAGAAAAACTCTATGGCTATAGCCAAAAATCCCATTGTTTTTCTACCAAATACTAAACAATCAAAAACATTAAGAAAAAGAAGAAGTGAACAATAGACAAATATTCCTACACAATGCAAAGATGAGAACTTTAATTCTGCTTAATCAATACTTTTATAGTATTGAATTTGAATAGTAACAGGATTGGTTATAGAGATAAGCTTATTATACAATATACATATTTAAAGTGGAGTACTTTTAACAAATATATAAATATGTTGAGGGTTAAATTTGAAGAACCAAAATGAACCTACCAATACCTACATAAGTGCTCAAAACTTGATATTTTCCACTTTTTTCTAGGATAAAACTATGGAAAGTTTTAAATAGCCAAAAAATTTGTTCATAAAATATAAAAAACTATAATATATTTTTTTATTTTAAAACAAATTGATTTTTTTTTCATTTTTTAGTTAAAAATATTAAAGTTAAACAGATAAAAATGTTTAAAAAGGTACATAAATAAAATATCATTCTAGCCCAATTCTGTCCAAATTTTCTGACTAAAAAAGATTTTTGCTAAAACTATTACACAATTGTCCTATGAAAACTCCAAAAAGTAGTTGTTAGAATCTTTACTCCAAATAACTCGCATAAATTCAGAAACAACTCAAATTTGTATTCATGACCAAACACAATTTCAATTTTTTTTGGGAACCCCAAGATAACCCACAGCTGCTACAATTTCTGTCAGAGCTTCTGCCCTTTGGATGAGCACTCTGTGTGCACTAGGTACCGCGTAATAGCCTGCAAATCACACAGGAGATGTAAATCGCACTAGACAAGCCCTATGCGATAGACTGGACTTAGAAGGCATTTGGGGGGGGGGGGGGTTCGATCCAACAATTTCAATTTTCAAATACCATTTTCAACATTTTTTTCCCCTTCTTATTCATAATTTTTATGTCCGAGGGCACACAAACAATGCACATGTGTGGCAAACTGCAGTAGAAAATTAACAAGATCCTAGTGATTAACCATTCTTTGACTGCAAGCACAAGAGTAGCAACATATATTCATTGTAGCTCTTCCGACTAGTCGACTACACCATGTACAAAAATCAGATAACAAAGTAAAAGCTTGTTATCTGAAAACACAGTATGAATGAGCACCATAAACAACAATATATTTAGTGTAATCCCACAAGTGAAATCTAGAAAAGATAAGAGTGTATGCAGACCAGATGGAGCCATA